GGAGGTCGATAGTGCAGCGTCGTTGCCGACGAATGTGCAAGTGCCAGAAAATTGCCTTTTAGTCTGCGGTGAGTCGAGAAGAAGGCAAGTAATCTGCGAGAGTACCGTGAAGCAGAGACGAGCAGTAAGGCTCAGGGCCATGCCGAACACTGTAGCGCAGAGAGTAGCTTGAAGGAAGAGCAAGCATTATTTTTCCAGTGCTGCGATGAACCTTGTGAAACTAGATGGCTTGCAGGATATGAAGACTGCAGACGATATCTGCTCGGGAGTGAATGGGTGGGGTATTTTATGACGATAATGAAGCTTGAAGTTTCCGAAGGTTGTTGATTGCGTATTCAAATCGCGTTGGGTGGTCACCACTGTGGCCGTAAAAGGAAAAGGGGAGATCTCCCGCCGGGCAAGGTTTACAAAAATATTCCAGACAAAAGTTACGTACAGTTTGGCAAGACTACTTGCAAGCTCAAATGACATGTGGATAGTCATACCAGTCATAGTAGTAACGGCTATTGAAGCAATTGGAACCGATGGAGACCTTCTATGAGTGGATACTTTCTAGCTAGATGAAGTTAGATTTGCCGAAAATTGGCTAAAATTTTACACTTTAGTGAAGGTCTAAATTGATGAATATGTTAATTATTTATACTAAGCAATTAGTTAACAAAAGATAAATACGGAAATAATTGAAAGACACGGTTCAATTACTGCAATTGTGGTTATTTGTTATATTGTGTAGGCTGCTCAACATTGCTTCAAATTATATTCAAACTATTGTACTGAGATATATTGAAAATTAGTGTTATTGCTTCCTTGGCATTCATGTAATCGGTAGTTTGTTATTACTAATAAACAGACTGTTTGAAATATGGGTGCAAATCATAAAGGGGATGATACGTTAAACCACTTCGGGCTTATTAAACTAAACTTGTGCTTGACGAAGTCTGCTTCTTTTTTTTATTGGACTTTTAAGGTTTTTTTAAAAATAAAAGCCATTTTTTTCAATTGCTAATACAACATATGTGTATAGTAACAGTTGTTATGTTGTTATTTTTATTTATGTAAATTGTGATTACTCAGACAAAATAATTAGCAAATATCTTCAAAATCGATCTTTGTGGGCTCCAGAAAATGGTTGAAAGAAAGCAGACATATCGATTTGGGTGATGTGCGAAAACAATGATTGCATTTATAGATTATCGAACTGATAGTTCGTCTAGCGGTAATAACCCAATACATCTGTCTTAATAAACTATCTAATAAATTATGGCAATGCATGCGATGATAATAATCTACAATGAGGTTCACTACACGATCTTTCCTAGATAACCAAATAGGATGCCGATGGTCGAAGGTTAAGTTAGCGTTACTTAATCTTTCTCCAACGCTGATAAGCCCGTCGTGAGGAAACGGATTGAATTTCTGTATGTGTTTCTGATATTTACAACTGACTTTCTCAGTAATAAATTTTGACATCATATAGTTGCCTTATAAATACATGTATTTTTAATCATGATTGTTGTGAGTAATAATTTCATTGTGTATTGATAGACTTTGCTAATTTTAAATGAAAACTAACAAACTAACAGTTAAAAATTTACTCACCGAATATCTTATAATTGTTATTATTTTTATCTATTTTTATTTATTCATTTATTTAAGCTAACAGATGACACAGCCAAAACGCTTATAAGATTAACAATACATCCTCGTCATTATATAGGTAATAGCAAAATTATTTTAAAATATCTTAATTAAAAATACATCAATAATATCACAGTGAAAAAAATCATAAATAATTCAATCTGAGTCCATAAATAACATTAATATTAAAATAAAATGGTAATAATATAGCAAAATAGCAATTATAATAATTAATTATGAAAACAATATATGTAAGTAGAATTTATTTAAAATTATTTGAATTTCTTTATACAAATGTCCTAATCCATCGGGAAATAAGTCTAGCTCTTGGTGCTGTGCAAGTATGTCCTCAATAATGCGGAGTACGCGGTTGGTGGGTTATTGACGAGCGCGCTCGGTGTTTGCGCGGGGGGGCTCCAGCAGTCCCTGCGAGTTTGCTGACACGTTCCCAGGGACCAAGATGCGAACACGCTCTAGTATTTGGGGACTATCAATTCTATTGTGAATTATGGACAGATATTGCATGACTTGAGTTATTGCCCCTCTAAATTTCAACGTTTCAATGTCCACCATACCAGACACGAATAAGGAAGGGTAAAAGTAGGGATATTATCCGTACTGTTTCTTATATATCCATCGAGCAAATTAACGTTGTATTTTTTCAATCATTAGAACGTATTTCTCTTCGTAAGGATTCCAGATAACAGCACCGTATTCGAGTTTACTGCGCACATAAGCATTATATAATACTTTTGCAACCCGTGTATTATCAAACTGTGACGCAGTCCTTATGACAAAACCAACATTTTGTGCGCTCACTTACAAATTTTTTTGATGTGCGTGTGAAAATCTAATTTGCAATCTAATAGTAATCCTAAGTCCCTAATCTCTTTAACTCTTTCCAAAGGAGCGTCAGTTAACTTATAATTAACAATAATGGGCTGTGATTTTCGCGTGAAAGTTATTATTTTACATTTGAGATTATTGAACGGAAGGTGGTTTTCTTGACTCCATATAGACACAGGATTAATATCAGAGTTAGTTTCAGGTCATCCGCAAATAAGAGACACTCTGAAGTCAAAACAACATTTGGCAAATCGTTTATAAATATCACGAATAGCAAAGGTCCTAACGTACTACCTTGACTCACTCCTGATCTAGTAAAGTAGTCTCCAGAGTTATATTCACTGAGCCTCACATATTGACGTCGATTATTAAGGTAACAAGAAAAAAAATTGAGAAGCTTTGGTACGAATCCAACAATCGCCAACTTTTTCAATAGTATATCATTATCCACTAGGTCGAAGGCTTTCTGGAAGTCAAAGTAAGCCGCATCAACTTGCCTTCGCTTATCCATTTGTGAGCAGATATAGTCTACATGCGCGGCCAAGTTGGTGATGATGGAGCGAGCTGTATGAAACCCATGTTGACCATTATGCAGCTGGTAACCGATTCGGTATTTGATGGAATCACTTAGAATTGCTTCAAAGATCTTACCAAAAACGGATAGGAAAGCTATAGGTCTGAAAGAAGTAACATTTGTACCTCCATCTCCTTTGGGAACAGGAGTGATATGAGATAGTTTCCAGCTCTCAGGATATCTTGACTGGGTCAATGAAAGATTATACAAATACAGAAGAGGCCGCCCAAGAACTGATATACAGTCCTTAACTAAGAAGACAGGAATGCCATCCGGCCCACCAGCCGATCGTGGCTTGATGAAAAACGGACGCAAAATATTTAGCAAAGGCATCGGCTGCGGCTTGATCTGTCACTGCAGTATTTTCATATATATATGTATCTATGTACCTTCTATTGTTTTTCTTCTCCTTTACATATTTCCAGAATTGCACAGGATCGTCAATGATATTTTTTGTAGTATAGTCATATATTTTCGGTATTCACAGTCAATCAATTTCTTAACTTTTTCTCTATAATATATAAACATAGCCTTATTAAATTCTTTGCCCTCTTTTTTGAATTGCTTACGATGAAAGTGTTTGTTTTTATATTTTTTATTATTTCTACGTTGTACCAGTTTAGATATATGTATCGCTGATTGTTTGATAACTGTTTTTTAATAGGCACAAACAGATTTACAATTTCGTATAGCTTATCGTAGAACACCTGTACAGCACAGTTAATATCACTTATTGTTAACAAATCAGACCAGTCTATTTCAATCAAAGTCCTATAGAGACCCTGAAAATCTGCCTTACGCCAGTTCCAATCTGTATTGGTATTCGAGCGAGGTGTCACTTGCTGCAAAGATGACACGCTCGATGCTATCCAAAAGCCCGGAAATGTAATATTTATATCGAGCATAGGATGGTAATGATCGATATTTACCAGAGGATCTTCACTGAGAGATACCACTATCTATTTAGGTTCAAAATTGCCCAGCACCAGATCTAGCATACCACCGCGATTATGTAAGACTGTATAATATTGTTTAAGCGAGCAGAATTCACAAAAAAAGTCAAAAAAAGTCTTTATATTGGTACTGCAAGAGTTTAAATTAAAGTCACCTAGGATTAGAACATTTAGGTCGGGGTAAGTACAAATTACATTTTCTATACATGTCAAAACATTCAAATATTGCTCATCCTTATAATTTGGTGGCAGATATACGACATAACATAAAACTTTTACATTTTTAAATGTCATAATTGCAAATATTAATTATTTGTCATCAGTCATACTCACAATATCCGTAACTATTTTAACATTATAACGATCACGAATGGCGAGCAAAACTCCTCCTCATCCACAATCACCAGGTCTATCTTTACGAACCACATGAAAACCCGGAGGAAAGAGTTCACCATTAGATACTGAACTCGTAAGAAAGGTCTCAGTTAATGCTATCATATTATATGCACTTTCCATAACATTATTAAGAAACATATTAGTTTTGTTCTTAGGCCACGAACATTTTGGTAGCACATTTGCATTTCATGGAATCGCGGTTGACGCTTGATTGTTATTGTCTTTGGCACGAAAGTTCTGCCGCCATAGTTTAATACAGATGTCTTCAGCCCAGTTTTCAGATTACATTATATTTTCGGCCTGCTTCAATGGAACTCCGAGTTTGAACGACGCATAATGTCCACGTGGTTTCAGTTTTTCAACCGTGCATTCGTCGTTCCCACATATTGAGTTAAGATGTTCGCGTACTTGCTCTACTGTGGTGCCTTCTCGTACGTAGTATAGGTGCAGGTATCTTCGCCTTTCAGCAGCATACAACATCGTAGAAACAGGCGCAGCGGTACCTCGAAGCAACCCGGGAAGTTAGGGGCGTGCCCGTTTGCGTGATACTTCTTGCTAGTTGTCATCAATCCGCTCGCAGTCCTGACTATTACTTAGACGGAAGACTCGGAATATTCTTCATGCATCATCTTTTGAGCACTGAGAACAGGAGCCACAGATGAGACTTTATTTGTGCTGGGGATAGTAAACACAGACTGATCCTTATCAGTTCCGAGATGTTCGATATTTGGTTGAGGTTGAGATTGAGGTTTCCGCTTCGGAGGCTTATTTTGTGTAGTGGGTATCTTTTCAAGGGTTGAACTGGTTTGAGTACCGCTAGTTTTCAAGATTTTGAATATTGGCGTTGGTTCGCAAGCCTTATTGATGCTCGATAAGTAGTGTTCCTCTAATTGTAAAACCTTGTTCGTTATCAAATTAACCCTATCCATGAATTTAGTTTTGAACGCCAAAAATTGTTGAATAAGCAGTGTATTAATTTTGTTCATTAACTGTGCTTCGAATTCAATTTGCAGGTTTTTTTAATTCACGCACAACAGCATCTTTTAAATCATTTCCTGTAATACTTTCGCCTATGCTTCCCATAGTAGTCTGGGCGTACCGCGGCTTAGCTCGTACAGTCACGTTATCAGAAGTCTGCATGGATACGTCAAGGCACGAAGCAGTAGAGGTGGTATTTAGATCCTGCATAATGTGTGGCTGCACTGCAGTATGAGAATTATCTCGTTTTGGTTGCCTACAGCGACATTCTCCACATATCCAAGATCTCTTTAATTCCACCGATATATTTTTAAACACATCAGTAGTAATGTTTGCACAAATAATATCAAAAATCTGCTTACATTTTGCACATTTCATATACTGACCGTCTTCGCTCACCTCATTGCGGCAGCCCGCGCACGGTGCCGTCTGACTTGCCATCGTAATGCAGTCCGCAGATCGTAGATATTGCAATGCCGCGCACACAGCGCTGGCCGGTAGCGATGACTCAGTGGAGCAGCGGGCGTCGCGCGGGTTGTCGTAGGTCTGGGTTAAAGACGGTTAACAAATAATTTTGAAATGTTATTGCTTATATATTCGAAATTACTGGATGGAAATGAATTTTGATTTCACCACTAGAATCGTCACTACAACAGCTTTGTGAATCATATACACACAACTTTAGAGAACAAATTTAGACACGAATTTTAACAGTTTATTTACGGAACAAACTTGCACAGATGTTTCCTTCACAGAATCTTACAATATATTATAACTCTGACCAAGCAATGTATATGTCATACATGTTTTGGTTAAAAAACAACTTATCTTATCTTATTTATCTCGCTGCCCTACTTTATGTTGACGAACTTATTTATTTACTATAAATTTCAATTTTTAATTGTATTCAATTTGATTATAAACATTGGGAGCAAACCCTGACTTAAGATATTTTTTCTATATTTTCTTAGAGTATATTTACGCTAATTAGTTTTATTTAAAATATTTTATATAAAACGCATACGGCATCCTCGGCATTAAATCTCCTTCTCGAACTCCTCCTACACCTCGGCATTGATCAGTTTAATGATAAAATTACAAATTAAAAAGATATTTAAAACGTCAATTTTGAGCTGGAATAGTACTTTTTAAATTATAATAATTAGACCCAAAGTAAAAAAAAAATCAATACAAATAAATTACGAACAAAAATTATTTGCAAACAAAATTGCGGGCTAGCTAGTAATACAATATAATAAAATTAAATATTTTAATTCAATATAGGTTATAAATAATTCTTCTTGAAAGTAATTTTTTACTATTTTCAAAGAGGTTGCAAAGCCGTTATCTAACTGGCTCCGGGCTGCTGCTGATAACTTCTTGACAGGAAAGCCCTATGAATTAATTTCCAGAAAACCTACCAGAAGTAAAGAAACATGTTGAAAAATATGGGTGGGGTGCACTCTAAATGATACTATGCTCTAAAACATATTCTATAAAGACAAAATGAGCACATGAAAATGCAAACCAGTAATCACCAAAGGGCAGGAAAAGATGAGGACAGATGATTTCCTCTGGGTGGTTGGATTCTTTTTCTTTAAGTTAATTTGTCAATTACTTTTAGTGAGAATTGACTTTGAACTCTATGCATGCCCGTGATGCTTTGCAACGTGTACACACTCATTTGTTTTCCAGCAATAACCTGTAATGTCACCCATGACCGTGTTTGATCAATGCGACGTCATTATTGTCTAACTTTCGTTAAGTTTTCTCTAATTTTTTGAGTAGTGCTTATACCATTCCGGCGTCATGTATCTGAAAAATAAAAATAAAGAATTAAAGTTAAAATTCTACAATTACAAAGCCATTATTACACAATTAAATTTATAATTCAAAAAAATTAAATAAATAATATAAAACTTACCTTTGAGTCACGTCGCATCAATGCAGAAATTGCGATCAAGTCGTTAATTATTTTCTAGAATATAGTATTTGCTCTTGCACCCGTAATCCATGTTGTATTTCTTGAAAGTAAAGTAAGGTATTGTAGTTCTAGGCTTAAAATTATTGGTGATAAACGAGTAAACGTACATCCAATGATAATTGAATACCATTGACCATTGACACCTTCATATTTGATCTATGATAAAACAAAATGCAGATCTGCTGCTCTCCTGAGTAAGATGAAATACCTGTTTATCAGTAAAAAGGTGTATCTAGCGCATTTACACCGTAACATCATCCTACTTACATACATTATATATATATATATATATATATAATATATATATATATATATATATATATATATACGTGTGTGTGTGTGTTACGATTCGACGATTAACGATGGGGCATAGCGAGACCCTTTCGCTAGTAAGTAAATGACAATTTATCTATTTATTGACTAAATTGACTCATATTCACATTACATGTTGGCTTAGTATAAAAAAATTACAAAATCTGTAAACGAGAGTTTCTTTTGTGTAGTATCTAGTTAATGACAACATAACATTCTTACAATAAGAAAATACGGAATAAATCTAATAATATCAAGTCACTGATAAGAATACTTATAACAACACACTGAGATACAAGAACGATATTCCACATTTTGGAATTGAAACAGAAACAGAAACTTTTTGATTCAATGTAGATTATAAACAATATTTATTGAAAGTCGATAATCATTGATCATTGATTGGAATTTTGGTAAAGCAAAGTGCAAAAGTGCAAAGCTGTGAAAAATGTTCGTTTAATATGAAATGTTTAGATGACTTGAAATTTTTGTGATAAAATAAATAAAAAAATTCTGACAGTTTTCCAGAAAAGTTTGACAGCAAATTCAAATCCAAAATTAAAACTTTTAATTGACGCTTGTCTAAAGCTAAAGGCACTAACCTTCATTTATAACTATTAGTTGCACTGAACTCGCTATACGGCTTTACACTACACGATAAAAAAAAAAAAAAAAAAAAAAAAAAAATTGGAATTAATAAACCGGTCACTCATTGTGCGGCGATTTAAAGCGCCGCACAAGAGGTTTGTAGTGTAAAGCCAGGAATATGCACCTAAATATAAATAAACTCTAATTTAGACAACCCAATATTTTGGATTTCAATGAAACTATCATATATATATACATATATATATATATATATATATATATATATATATATATATATATATATATATATATATCATAATTTAATGGAACATAAAATGAAAACAATTATTTGAACCTAAATTACCCGTGTATATATTTGTTTATAAAATACATTTTGGTGACTCTGAACTAACATGACAAAAATTGGATAAAATTTTATATTAGAGTAGGCTTTTTGTTAGTTATCGCCGTTATTCAAATCAGTCAAGGGAACGTGTTTTTATTAACATAACGTCTTGAATATCTGCCTATAAAGATAAAACAAAATTTCAAAAAGATATCTTACATTGTGACTTTAAAATTAATATTTAGTGCTGAAATGTAATGAAATTAAAATTTCTCGGGAAAAATTTACGATGATTGTATTCATGGCCGCGGCTAAAATGTTTTCGTAAACAACAATTAATGGTGTATTTGCATTAAAAAGAATTGTTTTCTATAACGAAGAAAAATAATGTTAATATATTCCACCCTACTGGGGCGTGCGTAACTCAGCTCTTTTAAAATTTATTTATTCGGCAAAATACGAGTAAATGATTCCCCAAGAAAAATGTTGATTTGAATTAATTTAATATTGTCTCGTGTTCTAAATTATAGATAGGTAGTGTTATATAAATTTACATTCCCGACTTCAGAAGTTATAATGTGAAAATTGTTTGATTATTTTTAGTTATTAAGAACGTTTTTAATTTTTACTATTTTTTTTTAATCTTTTTGAGTGGTTTATGGAATATTGCTAGCTTAATAAATTTAATCTAATTTAAAGTTTTAAATTAGAATAAGAGTTGTTTTGCGTAGTTCAGATATGTTCTATGTTAGTTATATAATAAAACGCATTTTAGTAAGAATGATAATATAAAATTTCTTATCAGAAGAGAAGAGTGGTAACATTTCACAAGTAAGAACATAGTTAAGGTAAAGGATACAGTTTATATAAAAAATTAAAACTATTTGATAACAATCAATCAAATAACAATCTGTCACTTATTAAATGTAATTACTATGTTAGACTTTAAAATATGAACCTATTTTTGATAAACAATTAAATTCAATGGCGTTGACAAGTTTCTTGTCAATAATACTTATCGATGTTTTTTTACATATATCAGTTTACAATAATGAAACTTGCTGACAATAGGTAATTTTCAAAGGTTTATTAATTTACAGGTTTTCCACTGACTCACTTTATATAAAAACTGTGAATAAACATTCAATGCAAATTGATTATGATTGTCAATGATTTGTTGAATGGTATTCTTAAACGTAATTTAAAGTTTGTAAAATTCTAATTCTACCTACGGATGTTGTTGAAATACGAGTAAGCATAACAATTTGACAGCTTATTGATTTTCTCTATGACGAGGAATAAATGAATGGTTAACAATATTTTTTTTACAAAATTATTCTTCTTTTTAATTTGTAGTTTCCTACTTTAGTTATTTTTCTCCATGGACCTACTATTTTTAAACCTTATTTTTTATATAATAACGATGAGAAGCTAGCACACAGTCCAATTGATGGTAAATGGATGCTGTGGCCTATAGACATCTACATTTTTTCCTACTAAGAATTAGTGCACATGCGTTTTCACCCTTGAGGACCAATGTGGAATGCCGTGCTACGTGTAAAATGTGTCTCCTGTTCTCAATACTCACCGTAAGAAAAAAAGCAGATTTTAAATGCTATTTAAGCTGGTAATCTGTGAGGGCGTAGTACTTCCACAGTCGAGCCGATCCATACGTGGTTGTAGCAAAATATAGTTGCAACTTGGCTCTACTTCGTATAACT